ACTTTTTTGCTAAACTTTTGCTTTGAATCTTGCAATTTTGCCAATTTTTCCTTTTTTTTAAATGTTTTTGTTCTAAACCTTCTTTCAAAGGAGTGTTTGTTAATATCTCTGAATGTTGTTTTTGTCTTCGTTTAATTTTTGTATTAGGCACAGGAACAGGGGAAATATCGGAAATAGATACATGTGGACGTTTGTTTGTTACATTCTATTTTGGCAAGGACAACTGCTTGCTTGTTGATGGCTGCGGTGATTCTGACTCTGTTGTCATTCGCGGAGGAGTTATGATTCCTGGAGGAGCTCCCTGACTCATATTTGCTTGTGCGGAAGAAACATCTCTCTCCAATGACGACCTGTTGATATTATCCGCGGGGAGGAAATCGTCTTCTATGAATTTATCTGGATTTAGTGGAAAAATACCGCACGCCTTGAACCCAGAAACTGCCTTTGCAATATTTGCAACCTGCCCGTATGATAACTTAAAAATTTCGGCAACATCGTATGGTGTTATTTTATCCTCATACTCTGAGTTTTTGATTTTGGATTGTAAAAAAGAATTGCAATGACGACTACGCATTTTTCAAACTAGAGAAAAATGTTACGTCAAGGGGTTGCAATTTGTGAGACGTGTGGGGTGGGATGCTAACCATAACAAAACCATTCTCTTTGCAAAAGTCATATATCTGAAGGGAAATATGAGTAGAGTGGTTGTCCAATATAATTAATACGGGATTGTCGGGTGTAGATTAAACTTTGTTTTGGAAATGTTTCAGCCATAAAGAAAACACATTCTCATTGCTCCAACCATTATCTGTGCATGTATAAATTGCACCGCTTGGTCCATTCTTCTGGAGATAAGGGCTCATTCGCTTCCTAGGAAAAACAAACAATGGTGGAATGTAATTACCCGATGCACTAAAAGCGGCAATTACGGTAATGTTTTTTCTACGTTCCCACGAGGATATGATTCCAAATTGTTTTACTCCGAGTCTTTTACTTGTTTCTTTAGGAACCGTGGATATACCAGTTTCATCAACGTTATAGATACGGTCTGGAAGAAACTTATACGTTTTTTGAACGTTCACTAGGTTTTGAAAGTAGCGGTCTACTTCCGTTTTATTGAAAGCGGTTATCGGATGTATACTGGTCGCTTCGGGCTTTTTTAATGAAATTTGAGGATTTTCTTTTCATAAAATTGTTGTACCAATCCTTCCCCGCCATTCCCTTCTCTTTATTAAAATTTTGATTAATTTTATTTTCTTCTGCATACTTGTAGGGGAAACTGGCCTAAAATGACATACCCTAAACAAAAGTTTTCATAAAGGAATAATTATCGATACCAATTTATTTGAAGTTTAATGAGTTCGTTAGATTATCCCGCTTCCCATGGAAAACACAAAACTTTGAATTTGTTCATTTTAAAACACTGATGCCAAATTTTAAAAAAAATGTGCATTATGTCATTTTAGGCTTGTACTAGGATAAAATGACATACAAAAAATTATAGAAAGTGTTGCAAATAAAAAATGTAGAAATATTGGAAAAAAACTTTATTCTGAAATACAAAAATATAATGCTTTGGTTGAAAAAACAAAATATCTATTTAATTGCATAGTTCGCAAGTAAAAAACTTTGTTCGAGGGAAATACCAGCGCATTTTGCATGACTCCACTTTTTACATTTTTGACACCGCAGCCAAAGCTCGCTTGATTTTGACTGGGAATAAAGGCTGTTGCAATAAATACAAGCAGCATCTTCACCATCAACTTCCCTCAGCAAATGGATCTGGTTTTTCTTCTTCTTCACCGACCCATAAATTAACTTTAACTCGGTTGCGTTTTGCACGTCGCTCCAAGACTAAACGTTTCTCTTCTTCTTTTGCTTTCACTTCTTCCATGTTTGGTGTAGATGTTAGAAGAACCGTTCCCTGTCTTTTTCGATTTGTTCGTTTAAATGATTATTATTATTATTTATTTCCATGCTTCATTACAGGAATTTCCCAATTACAACGAAGCACTTCACTTGCAAATACCTTGGGTATTGAAATGATGCTTTCCACAGAAACCCGACTACTGTCTAGTATATTTTCTTTATTTGGAGTTATATTGGAGATATTTGATGATCCAGGTCTCTCCGTTATCTCCATAGATGGTGGAGGAGGTGTGTTTGGAGGGTTGTCACGGTCTGGTGTTTGTAATTCGGGATCATTTTGTTCAGGAATGTCGGTTGTTAATGACGCAGCGAACATCCAGTCGGGAAATATATCTGCGTTAACCGGATGTATTCCTGTTTTTTTGAACCCGCTAAACTGCATTTTACATAGTTGCACTGCGTTCATAAGCTTCGGAGAATAGCTTTCCTAATTGGAAAGGAGTTACAGTTCGACCTGGATTATTCTTGAGCCACTTTGTTATCCCTTGATTATAATATGTTGATAACGGTCCAAAATATGACACATCCAGGGGTTGTAGCCTATGTGTACAGTGCGGAGGAAAGCAAATCATTAGGACACCATTTTCTTTAGCCAAGGAAATAACTTCCAATTGTTTGTGGCTAACGTGACCATCAAGCAGTAAGCTTAAGTAAGGTTTTAAGTAAGGTAAGTAAGGTTTTATTATTTTGAGATGAATGTGTAAACTTTATAAAATGTTTTAGCCACTTACAAAACAGGTCGCCTGTCATCCAGCCCGATTCTGGACACAAGCCCAATGTCCCAGCTGGTGCATCATCAATTACCTCTTGCTTCCATTTTTTTCTAGAAAAAATCAGAGCTGGTGATACAAAGCTGCCTATTGGATTCATAGCGCAAACTACAGTAGTGTGTGCTCCCCGTTCTGCACTTGTAATGGCACCACAGTTGCATGGCATCCTATCATATTAAACTGGATTTAATGGAATATAAATTAAACAACTTACCGTTAATATTTTCAGGATGGAGAATTTCAAGCAATGTCACGTATTTCACATTTAACTGCAACACACATACTAAACAGTGCAATGGCCCACCAGTAAAACTTTAAAGTAATAGTAGTCCCCTAAGGAGGGCGCCATGAGTATAAAAATCTA